TAAGGTCGGTGAAGTCGATGCAGGTCTGCCATTTGTCATTAGGCTTTTTTACTAGAACTAGGTTGACAACCTAGGTCGGATAGAGTGTTTCTCGGATGGATCCATTTTGGAAGAGGTTATCCACCTCAAGCTTCAAGGCAGCATATCGCTCCGGGTCCATCGCTCTCCTCTTTTAGTGAACTGGCTTGGCTTCACTGTCGATGTTTAATGCATGGCAAATAATATTCGGGCTGATCCCGACCATATCTACTTGCAACCATGCGAACACATCGATGTTTTCCCTAAGGAAGCTGGTCAGTTCGATAGCGAGCTAGGGATTGAGATTTTTACCGATCCTTAGCACCCTGCTTGGTTCGGTATGGTCGACCAGTACTTCAGTCAGGTCCTTAACTGGCCCACTGGAAGGGCAGTCCTGAATGCGAGGATCTATATTATCGTTGACTGGGCCAGGCTGTGGCTCGATCCGACTAATCGCCATTGTCTAGTTGTGATCACCGCGTGAGGTGCCTTTGCCTTTGCACGCCATCTGTACTGCTTTCACATAGCAGTCCCGAGCTACGCGCTGAGACCCGCTAGCTTCCCCAATCCCCGTCGGGGTGGGAAACTTCATCTTCAAATGGTATATTGAAGTGACCGCCTTGAAGTGTCTCAGCAGAGGTCGCCTCAAGATTCCATTAAAGGCGGATGGGCAATCCACTACCAAAAACTCAATTACTCTGGTCACCTCGTCGAAGTCACCCAACGTGACTGGGAGTGAGATCGTGCCCTTGGGGAGCAGGTGGTCCCCTATGAAGCCATATAGAGGGAACGAGGCAGGCTTCAGGTCTGCCTCGTCCAAATTCATTCTTTTGAAAGTTGAAGCGAACAGGATGTTCACAGCACTTCCGTTATCCACTAACATTCTCTGGATATTATGGCGCCTTATGAGGGGCGTGATCACAAGGGCATCATCGTGAGGATGATGCAGTCGAGCCGCATCTTTTTCAGAGAAGGAAATTTCCTCCTCCCAGCGAACCTTTTGTGGTCACTCTGCCACGCTCATCGCTCTGATGTGCTCGTGATGTGCCTCGCAAGCATACCTTTCTTGGGCACCTCGCAAGGTTTTCCGCAAAGTGCGGTCCCCCAAAAATTAAATTGAGGGTGCACACTCCTTTCTGATCGCGGCGCTTCTTACTTGGCTCCTCCTGATTTTTCTCTTGTGAGGGAGCAGAGTCATCAATATACTCCTTGAAATGTCCCTGCTTGATAAGGTTTTCGATCGCCTACTTGAGAGCTCGACATTCATCGATATGGTGCCCATTGTCCCGATGATAGCAACAATATTTTTTATTATTTCTAGCTGTCGCGGGAGTTTTCATGGGCTCGGACTCTCCGAGCAGGCTAGCCTCCTCAGATTTATCGAGAATAGCCGATACAGATGCGTTCAGTGGAGTATATTGGTTTCTGTCACGATCGCGATGAGGGACGGGAGCATAGGACTTTTTGGGCTAATAACGAGGTTTCTTCCCTCTTCGCTGATCGTCTGCGTCCCCCCTATGATCAATTCTTCTACTATCCCACTGACCAGGTGTACTGCCCGAAGCGCTATGGTCGTGACGACGGAGTGCCGCTAATGAATTTTCTATCCGAAGGTACTTCTCTGCAAGATTATAGAATCCAGTGAGGGAAAGATCGTCCTCAGCCTATAATTCTTTCCACATGTCAGTCTGTGGACGGACTCCGGCTATGATGAGAGTCCGAACAGATTCTTCGAGACTATGAGCCACCTTGTTGAGTTCTCTGTGGAAACGGTCAATGCAGGACTGGAGGGATTCATCCCTTTCTTGCCTTATATTGTTGAGGTAGCTCAAAGGCATCGAGAACTTCCGATTTGCTTGAAAATGCCTTAGGAACGTCACGCTCATCTGAGGCCACCAACTGATCGATCCCACTAGGAGTGACCTAAAGCACTGTTTGGCATGAGAGGTCAAAGTCAGTGCCAAACAACGACATTTTGCTAGACCTGAGACCTGGTGAAGCTCCATCAGGTCGTTAAATTCATACAAATGAACCTGCGGATCAGAGTTCCCATCAAACGCCTGCATGTCGGGCATCCTGAATCCTGGTGGGAGTGGAGTGGCTAACACTTCGGTAGAGAAGGGGGACGCAGATGTGACCTACCCCTGCTCGTTTTGTTGAGCTCGTAGGCTGTCTAGAGCTCACTGCAGCTCCTCAATTTGCGGCAATGGAGCCGCTTGGGGATTGCTTTCACCCGTGCGAGTTCGACCCTCGCGATTACAGTTGAGGAAAGTCCGGAGGTCGGGCTCCTCTTCGCCTCAGCCGGCAGTTCTGGCCACTCTCGACACACGTTGGCTAGAAGCGTATGATGGCGATGAAAGGTGCGGGGTATTTTCAAGACCTTCGTAGTGGTAAGAACCGCCCTGTGAAGTGTGGGACCCTCTCGCACGATGACAGTCAGGATCGTTTTGCTGGCGGTGATAGGAATCGCCCCTTCCAGCACTTTTATGGGTGTGCACTTGCGACGTGGCATGGGACAGCTCGGGCTACATCCTTTCACCGAGTCTCAACTAGACTGGTATTTTGCTTGGGACGCGGTCGGAGTTTGCTGGCCCTTTGGAGCCCGTGGGCTTGTTTTTTGCCACTTGCTTACCCTTTCTTCTACGCGCTGCAATGCTCGTGGCACGGGCTATTTCCCTTTGCCATGCTTTCATGTGACCTGCAGGCATTTTTGGCGGTTACACCACCGTAGCTGACTTGGATGGCACGCCTTGGTCCAAACGGTCCAGCCTTCGATTGACCGTCTGGAGAGTATTGTCAAACCTCTCCAGGTAGCTTCTAATAACGGGGTCAAGCTGTGAACTTGACGGGAGATCTCCTGCAACATTTTGCGGGGCTGAAGGTTTTTTGGAAGAAGTGTCCCCCTGAACTTGGGGGAACCCCTCAACGCCCTGGTTGGTTTACTCAGGTTCTGGTTGGTGGGTCATTTGTTGCTGTAGGACCGATAGGTTGGAGATTCTCCTGATGAAGGATGAACACTAAATCATCCCTCCTTCTAGTGCCAAACTGTTGATGCGTGATTTTGACACCAACGAAACGCACGTGTGAAATGTTAAGTTGGCCCAAAAGACAAACGTGAATGGAAAGGAAAATGACAGTAAATGTAGTGAGAAAGGAGTTTTAAAGTGGTTCGGATGCTATGGAAGCAAATCCTACATCCACTGATGGTTTTATTAATGATAAGGGTCAAGTCGTTTTAGACGACTGGCTTTACACTGATGATACAAGGTATCAAAGGCTGCCTATTCTAGAGAGAGAGAGAGATTGGTCAAGAGTAAATGTGTGAATCCCCTTAATGAGAGAGGAGCTCTCAACTTATAGTGGGATGCCTTGAGGTAATGATCACTGAATCCGTAAGTTGGTGGGATGATCCGTGCAAATCCTTCTTTATGTCACATTATCCATCTTCTAGAGTAATTCATGTGATTTACAGGGATTGGACACGCGGGATCATCACAACTCCTAGCTGGGATGACGTGCACCCACTATTCTGGCGGAAGCAGGTTGTGGGTGCAACCATGATCACACGACGCGGCTATGCCAGAATGTCAGTAAACTCTTCCCGAGGTCTGACCTTTCGCACTTAACTGGGTGCCACGTCAACCCTATTTTCCCAAGCATAACACGTTTTCAAATTGAAATCCACACTAATCACTATTAATGCTACTCCTCATTAAGGGTGAGATGTAAACAAAAGTATATTAATTTGATTACATTTTCTATTTGGGAGAGTGAATAGTTGTTATTGACACTAATTTCATGTATTACTGAAACATCTATAAAGAACTTTAGATGAAATCATGCGCGTAGCAGAACTTTTATTTTAATATGGGCTGAATAAATTTCTAAACAAAACATTTACTTATAAACGCTATTCTATGATTGAAATTGAATGAAAAAAAAATTAAATATAATTTGTATCAAATTTAGTTAAGAGAAATGTCAATCAACATATATATCTATAAATATATAATCTTAATAGACAATTTTATTTAACATTGAAAGAATTAGAAATATAATAAATATAATCATGAAGTGAATGAAAGTTAATTTGATTGTTTGTAAAAAAAAAATAATAATAATAATGAAATAGTTACAAACAATTTTTTTTTTAAGAGCTATATATATTATCAATTTATAAAATGTTGTCAACTGAATGAGCCATCATGCTATTATTTTGATGATAACAAACTAATATGCCCCTAAGCATGTTTGCTAATGACTATTGCTTAAGTGTGCACTTAGATAGGAAGGAAGTTTCTCAAGACATTGAAAATTTTTATCAATAATGGAAAAGACAAGCTTGGATGAAGAATCCTCAAGATTTAAAAAAGCTTAGGTCATGTTTGTTTTTTATCTGAAAGTTGAACGCATCTTTTAGCTGAATATGTATGAATATACAAGTTTAATCGATATATTTCTTTTTATTTTTTAATGTATAATTATAAGTATTGAATTGTTTGTATTTATATATGTAAACATCATAAAGTTGATATTTTAACACATTTGTGCATACTAAATGTAAGTATTTTTGTCCATTTATGAATTATGCGTGACTACATTAAGTTCTGATGTTGGGACATCATATTGTTTATGCACAATCATTTTTGTAGCCTTCTATTATCATGACACTCAATGTTAGTGTCGAGACATTCATCCAATCAAATTTCTTTTGTACATGTGGCGTTTTTAACTTGCTTGTCAAGTTAATTTTCTTTCATGATTTTTGTGTGAGAGCTAACTTTACAAGTGTCATACTATCCCAATGTGGTCCTGCAAGGTTGGTAAGGTTTTGTCCGTGGTTCCAATAAAAGTTGGAAGCTTTTATCTCTGGCCCAACAAAAGTTGGAAGGTTTTGTCTACCACATGTCTTAAAGAGATCAGTTGAGCAAGGATTATATATTATCATCTTCTTCCTTGCATTTTCTGTTGAACCCAGTGCGTCCATTGTTGTGCTCTTTGAAATTTTTTCTAGAGCTTATTCATTTACTCAAGTTCCCTTTCTTTGTTACGCATTTCTTTGAGTTTTGTTAAGCAAGGATTGTTTGTTTCCATCTTCTTCTTCCTTGTGTGTTTGAGCCTGAATATACTTCTAATAGCTCTCTGAATATCCTTTGAGGTTTTCTTTGTTTTTAATCAGGTTCCATACGCTTTGGTAAGTTTATAAATACATGACACCTCAACAAAATGGTTTATTGGAGAGAAAGAATCGGGTCCTTCAGGAGATGGCAAGAGTGATGTTAAATGCAAAGAAATTGCCAAAGAGATTAAGGGCCGAGGCTATCAACACTGCATGCCACATCTCAAATACGGTGTTCTTAAGAAAAGGTACAACACAAAATCCTTATGAGCTGTGGAAGTGTAAGAAACCAAATCTCTCATACTTTCATGTTTTTGGTTGCAAGTGTTATGTCTTGAATGATAGAGAAAATCTAGGAAAATTTGACTCTAAGAGTGATAAAAGTGTTTTTCTTGGATATTCCTCTAACAGTAGAGCTTATAGGATTTTTAACATGAGAACTGAACATATTGTTGAATCATTTAATGTTGTGTTCTTTGATTTTGAAGATTACTCAGAGTTTTCTCAGGAAGAAGAAATTATTAACATAACTGTTCCTCACAATGTGACCACCAGTCAAGATGTTGTGACCACATTGAACTCTCCTAAAGCTAAAACGAGTGTGCCGACATCCGTATTTAGTGTGAGCACAGCTAGAGCTCAACAAGGACAAGCATTAGCTTCACGAAGTGATGGACTTTTACTGATTGTTGATTTATCTGATGAGATTACTCAGAGAAAGGCGTCCATAAGGAAAGACCACCCTCATGGATCAAGAAAGCACACCTACCATCCACTGTGATTGGAAAACCCAAAGAGGTAATGGTTACTAAAATAAGAAGGTTAAGTGAAATTAACCACTTAACCATCTGGTTTGGGAGTCATTGACCTAAAGCCCACTACACGTGTTAGAGTATATGCCCTAGAGCCAATCAATTATTGTAGAATTGACTCTTTGTAATAATGTTCATTAATCAATAATAAAAGGCATTTTATTCTATATCGCGTAAATCATTATTATTGCAATATGTATTGATATATGTCCTTAGAATGGTAGAACCATAACGGGAGTATCAAGTGTTTCAAATCTTAATAGTGAGAACCCTATGAGCACATATGGTGGCCATTCTAGAAACGTCCGTAGCCCCAGTATTATTCTGAAGTAAGGGCACAGATAATACGTTAAGGCTATCATAGTGTTGAGCGACCCTGTCGAAAGGCAGTGACTGATCTCACTTGGCAAGGTTGTTTGGTGACAACCTAGTGCAACAGATGGGTGCTTGTTGTAGGTGGATATACCGCAGCAAGTTCACTGGACTGACCCACCAGAGGATTCCATATGGATGGTAACCCCAATGTCTATGGAACAAATCCTCCAACGAATGGTGTTGCATGTGATCCTTAGCCTTGAGATCACTGGAGCGCCTTGTGCACCGATTGGTGTAGTTTGACACTAGTCTAACGCAGTTCTATTCAGAGCTGTCAATACATTGGTGATTGACTGCATCGAGGAGTGTATCAAGACTATGGTGGATTGACAGAGGATTCATCACTCCCAGGTATGGGAGAAGTTATCTCACGGCGCAATTCAGTAAATGGCAATGACACTAAAACTGTGGCCACAGTGGGATTGAGTTGTTTAAATCACACTTAATCCATAAACCACAACCTAATATCAACTCATATACTTTCCAAAATCATTTCAAACACGTTAAATTCATAAGAAAAATATTAGGAAGCGATTTTCGTGAATAAATTCATAAATTCTTTAATTGTCTCAATATACTTCAATTTAATCACAAATGGGGTATTTTTATCACCAAAATAGAGTCACTTTCATGACTCTAACAAAATTACTACTAATTGTTGGTGAATCATTTGCTATGATGTAAGCCCCCCACTTATGTAATATTAATCACACAGCAATGTTATTATGACTAAAATAAGGGTTGAAATATGTTGACGTCATCAAGCACCAATTAGAATCTAGGAAAGCATTCCACAATCCAAAACATGACACATCCACAGGTAAAAGGCATATAGCTATCACAGACCCAAACCAACTCAAGAATTTGTGCCTGGGTGAATTTGATTCGAACACTTGTCCAAGTCCCATTTAATTTAAGGATATTTTTTGAGTTCTCAACGAATGGGAAGGCATGAGGGATCTTCACGGCATCAGGCCACTTGCAAAAGTGTAATCATTACCTTGAGCTAAATGGATATAAATAGGCAGCTCTCCCTCATAAAATCAGGATCTGATATTCACATATTTGACAAAGAAAATAACAAAGACACACGACTAGAAAGAGACTGACTTGACATTCTCTAAGAACACTTAGAACACCAAACACTTGTAATCCCAAGTCACAACTCGCGACCTCTTGTAAGCTTGTCTAGCGATCAGAAAGTAATTTATATTAAACAATGATAGAATTTGAGGTAACCCTGACTCCTCACCCAATAAGGTCTTATTGGGTGAGGAGTCAGACTCACCTCAAATACTATCATCTTATTGGGTGAGGAGTCAGACTCACCTCAAATACTATCATGGTATCAGAGCCCATGTTCAGTTGAGCTGAGTGCTTGACCAGTTGGTGAGGAATTAGAGCCGACAACTATCTCCAATAACAGACATGACCCAACATATGTGCTTGACCGTGAGGGGGAGTGTTGGAGTCTCATACTAACTAGGCACGCTCAAGCATACTGATTTATAAGAGAGTGTAATCCTCTCATTCAACAAGACCTTATTGGGTGAGGAGTTAGACCCACCTCAAATTCTATTTCATAGTGGAGGTAGGATTCTCTTTAAGCATCCGAACCACTATCAAAATCATCTTATCAACTTTATATTTACGTCTTTGCATGCTACTGTGCTCATAGTACCTTACCTATTCACTATAATCAACTTACATGTAACTTGTTAGCACTTTACACGTGCGAAGTCGTTGGTGTCAAAATTAAATATGTATATAAGATCGAATACTTGTTACTTACAAATTACAATTATTTAAATCAATTTATGCATAAAACTAATCCACTCCATTGTACCCTCCGGACTTTCAAGTTTAAACTCAATTGAACTTGAACTCAATCTATATATCTTATCCAATATGATCCAATTAACTTCAACCCTAATCAAGTTAATTCAAATGTGGACTTTAAAGTTTAAACTCAATTAAGTTGAACTTATGTTTCAGTGCTAGTCTAATTATAATACTCTCCAGCTGAATCTGTTTTATTTCTGCATGATGCTCTAAAGAGAAGTAGGGAAGCCTATAAATAATGGGAAGTCAAATAACTCTTTCATGGGTTGTCCTGCTTAATCTCACTTTGCTCATCAGCTGCACAAATGGCTCATCATCAGATGATCGAAAGGTTTGTTTTATATAATATTATTAGCCTACTGAGTTCATGTTCTTCAAAGTATTTTAATACTATCAAAATCTTTTAGATAATAATCTGATATGTTATTGTGTACATTGATGTTATATTTTGCTGACTTTTTTGGATGCAGGAGTATATTGTATATATGGGCGATCGTCCAGACGGTGAATTCTCAGCATCTTTATTCCACGCCAGCGTGCTACAAGAATTTCTTGGAAGGTAATAACATACAAGAACATAAATGTCAAAATGTTTTATCTGTATTGTTTTAACATGTGTGATGTGTATTCATGCCATTAACTCTGAATAACTCATCAATAGTTAACTTATTATTTGCATTAAACAGTGGCGCCGAAGAACATTTACTCCACAGCTACCATAGGAGCTTCAATGGGTTTCTTGCTAGGTTGACCCAAGATGAAGCCCAGAGATTGAAAGGTTGTTATATTATTATTTTAAGAGGTGCTTTATTAATAGAGTTCAGAAATTTATTTATTTGTTTTTTCATTATTTTGATGTTACATTTTGATTTTCAGCCATGGAAGGTGTAGTATCAGTCTTCCCTAATGGAAAGAAACAACTACACACAAGAAGATCATGGGACTTCATGGGATTTTCTCAAAATGTCACAAGAGCAACAACTACTGAAAGCGATATCATTATAGGAATGCTCGACTCAGGAATTTGGCCAGAGTCTGAAAGTTTTAATGATACAAATTTTGGTCCACCACCCAAAAAATGGAAGGGAACTTGTCAAACATCGTCCAATTTCACTTGTAACAAGTAAATCTCATTACATAGTTATTTGCATATAGGAACATGAGAAAAAATCAGACTTGAAATGATTCTAAAAAAAATGCTGCAATTTTCAGCCAAATTATTGGAGCTAAATACTACAGAGCGAATGGAACATTTGTGGCAGAAGATTTTAAGTCACCGAGAGATTCGGAAGGACATGGAACTCATACTTCATCAACAGCCGCAGGTGGCGTAGTTAGCAAGGCAAGTCAGTTTGGCCTTGGCCTTGGAACAGCACGCGGAGGGGTTCCCTCTGCACGCATTGCAATGTACAAGATTTGTTGGTCTAATGGATGCGAATGCGATGATGCCGATATTCTCGCGGCATTTGATGATGCCATTGCTGATGGTGTTGACATAATCTCTGTTTCAGTAGGGGGTGAATTTGCTTCGGATTATTTTGAAGATTCTATTTCTATTGGATCTTTCCATGCAATGAAGAATGGTATTCTAACATCCACTTCTGCTGGTAATACTGGTCCTCGTCCTGCTACAGCTGTTAACGTTTCGCCTTGGTCACTCTCTGTAGCTGGTAGCACCATTGACAGAAAGTTTGTGGCTAAAGTGACGTTGGGAAATGGTCACGTTTATGAGGTGAGAGCAATTGCTCATTTGCTTATTTTCCAGGTAAACATGTTCAATTATTTTATGACTTACCATTGCGTACGTTTAATATTTGTAGGGAATCTCTATAAATACTCTAGACCTTAAGGGAAAGATGTTCCCTCTCATCTATGGAGGAGATGCCCCTGACAGAGAAACAATAGTTTCCGAAATATCATATGCCAAGTAATATGAATATGTTGAATGCGAATGTTTTGTTATGTTTTTCTTCACTATGTTCTAGTGTACATGATATTAAGCTCCAAACATTATAAATGCATAAAATTTATCATGAAATTCAGGATCTGCTTAGAGGACTCCTTGAACGAAACCTTGGTACGAGGAAAAATGGTTCTTTGTGATGAGTTGGGAACTGGGAACGGACCAGCAAAGGCCGGAGCAGCTGGTTGTATAATGCAAGGCACAGTTTCACAAGATGTGGCCTTTTCTTATCCTTTACCTGCTTCTTACTTGAACTTGAATTATGGAAGTGAGGTTGAAAAATACTTGAACTCAACTAGGTACTTCCCTGAATTTCTCTGTTTCTATCTACTGGTGAAAGTAAAATGGTTAAATTAATAGTTTTAACTGAGTTGCATTCTTGTGAAATATCAACAGAAAGCCAACAGCTACAATTTTCAAGAGTATTATGGTGAAGGATGAATTGGCCCCTTCAATAGCTACGTTTTCTGGAAGGGGGCCTAACCCTATCACATTAGATATTCTCAAGGTATGAATTGAATAACTTTCTCCATTTTGTTTCATGCTTCTGTTAGTTCTATTAATTTGATTTGATTTCTTGGTTTCTGCAGCCTGACCTAACTGCTCCTGGAGTGGACATTTTAGCTGCATGGACACAAGCTTCAACTACGTCAGAATATAATAGAGGATCCCCTTACAATATAATTTCAGGTACATCCATGGCTTGCCCACACGTGACCACCGTAGCAGCCTACATCAAGTCTTTCCACCCAACATGGTCCCCTGCTGCTATTAAGTCTGCTCTAATGACAACAGGTAACTCTATAATTTGTTACTTATGTGTACTCGAAGTAAAATTGTTAATAGAATCAATCTTTTACTATCAATGATGATTACATTGCAGCTTCTCCCATGAGTGTCGAAGATAAT